TCACGTCCAACTTCTTCCGGCGAAGCCTCCATGATTATCTCCGTGAGTTGCGGGATTTGCAACAGCTTCCTCTTGACTAAGTCTTGCACGTTTCCCCGGAGCTGTTTCTCGTTAGCTGTTTTGTAAACGAGGTCCCGAGTCTTTTGTTCGTGACCTGTTTTTACCGATAGGTAACGATTTCATGTGATCCTCATTTGAGGGGAGGCTTCCTAATGGGCTCGTAATGCTTTGCAAACGGTTTCTACTATTCGGCCCATTAATTCAGCTAACGGGCTAAATTTGGGCCCAACATAGACCATAGCGCAGGGGGTTGCCTCCAAAAGCAGTCCACATTGTGTACTTGAGGTTGGTTAGAAGCTGTCTTGACAGAAGCGAGTGTATGAGTTTGCAAGAAACAGGACATTGGCGCACCGGTAAGTGAAATAGCTTTCCAAAGGGAGACGCTTTTATCATTTCAAACTCCGGTGTATCTCGCAAGACATGACGGATGAAAGCGAGTATGTCTGGTCGGGAGTATATGTTCAGACGGTTCTCAGGGTATCTGTCGGTTGCGAACAACCTTGAAGGCAATTTGTGGTCGACTGCGATTTATAAAAGAAGACTATGGGATTATTTGATATTTGAGGTGTAGTAATGTATTAAAGAAGAAAGATAGTCGGAAGCACACTAACCTCTTGAACGAGACGATTGACGGCGATTTTCCGATTTAGAATCCTTGGCCATGACGAAAGGAAGAGGCTTGAAGGAGAAAGGAAGAGGCTTGAAGGAGATTAACGAGGCATGCAGGAGAAACTCCTTGCTTGAAGGAGATTAACGAGACTTGAAGGAGATTCACGAGACTTGAAGGAGATTCACGAGCATTGAGGAGGAAATCGAGGAGAGCTAGGGTTCGCGAAATGAATTGGGAAGAGGATTGAAGGAGATTCACGAGAAAGGAAGAGGATTGAAGAGGATTGAAGGAGATTGTCGGAAAATGAGGATTGAAGAGGATTGAAGAGGATTGAAGAGGAGATTCACGAGAAAGAAAGAGGATTGAAGAGGATTGTCGGGAAAATGAAGAGCAAATTGAGGAAAGCTAGGGTTCGCGAAATGAATTGGGGATCGGGGATTTTGTCCGGTTTAATTAAACGGTGGGTTTGCACGCGAACTCCGGTTTACATAGAAGGTCAACGTTTTGGTTTGGTTTGAGGCAGAAAGGGACTAAAAAGACTTTGTACACCCACAAAGTGTGTGGCAAGCAAGGAGTGCTCCTATGTGTAATTAAGAAGAGAAGAAGTGTCCTAGAGTGTAAAATTCTCATGATTTTTAAAGATTAATTTTGTTATGACCAAGTTAAGTACGAAATTAAATATCAAGTAATCTATTTAAACTATTTGTAAATATAAAAAAACTCAAATATTAAATAAAATTAATGATTTTGTTGTTTGTTACTTGTGTTTGTTAATAAACAAAGATACATTTTCATAAATTATAGTAAAATAATTCATTTCTATTTCATAAGGACATCAAACATAAGTGCTATATTTCTGTAAGCATTTTGAAATTTTCTCTTTTTTATATAGTATATTTCCCGAATGACTGAAATACAATAAAACAATGATATATATATATATATATATATATATATATATATATTTATATATAATAAAGTTATTTAATTTTATATTCTAATGAATTATCAAATAATTTACTAATAATTATGAATAAAATTGTAAGTAATTTACAAGTAACAAGTAATAAAACAAACCAAGTAACTTACAAGTCCGTCAATTTTTCACCAGTACTTGAAACTATAAGCACTTGTGTTTAACAAACCAAGTACAAGTCAAAATATTTATACTACTCGTACAAATTAAACCGGGTACTAAATATACCAAAAACTAAACCGAGTACTTATTTATTTGTAATATTTTTCTTATATATAACAGTGTAGTAAAACGCCTTTTTTTTTTTTGTTGATCAACCAGTGTATTGAAATGCTTTTTTTTTTTTTTTTTTTTTGGAACTCAAATTGCTACATATATCACCACAGCATATTTATGTTTTGGTTGTTTAGGGGATAGGGTCCACTCAAAACATAAAAAACGGACTATTCTAACTGCTAAACAAGTATCTAGTTTTGTTTGTTGTTTAAATTGTTCTCTGGCTTCACGGACACGTGGCGGTCCATGATGCGTTCTTTTTAAATTTTTTTAATCGAAAAAAAGAAAATAATATCCCCAAGTGGGGTGCTAGGATAATCATGCTGTAAGACATGTCCTCACATCTCTTATATATGAAAAGAGAAACATTGCATTTAATGCTTTCACACTACCTTTGCCACATGTCGTCTTAATAGAACTTCTCACTTTTTTATTTCCATATTTGCTTACAGTTTTAATTTTGCGACCATGCCTAACATATTAACACAACAAGAGTTACGTATCCGAGCAATAAGTTGCAGGAATGTTCCATCTTCAAAACAATCCCTCTCAAACTATCTGCATCAATATTAGCTGACTTCTTCACATATTCAAGCTTAGTGCTAACCCTTGACACTTTCTGAAGCCGGAATCCGTGGTTCACATGTCCTCTGCCATTATATCCTCTGTTTTGACGCTCGAGAAGCTTTGGCTCTCTTTGATGGTACGCGCAGCTCTCTTCTTTCGGTTCTTATGATGTCTTGGACAAAGAAGTGGAGGAGAGTTGTTTACGACAAACTGTAACCGATGGTACGCGTGTCGTTGCAGGTTGGATCATTATAAGAGTTTCAAAACGGAGAGCAATGTTGTAGACATGGAGAAGGTGTAAGAAATGACACATTCTCTGAAAGTAGAAATCTTTTGCAAAACAGAAGGCAAAGAAGATTTCTAACAGTTCAAGCTTTGACCACTCTGAAACGTTTAAGTGGAATATTAGGAGCTATACTTCATTCGGCTTACTTCCCTTTCTATGATAGAAAAACATATGGGTTCTTCTTGCAGATTCAAACAATATATTGTTCTTCCAGAAGGTTGCTTTCATGGACAAAGTTGAAGCTATAAGCACTGCATTGAGTGCTATTAGTTAGACATTGAATACTTTAGGAGCAAGCGTCGAGACAAAACATAATGCATTTAGAGAAGTTCTGACTCTGTGAGAAGATTAAGAGTGGGTCTAGATTGGTTTTGCAGCCACTTTCTAAGGTAGCTGGAATTAAAGACGAGATAAAACCGTCAATGCTCTTGCTAACCACTCTAAATTTAAAAGGCTTACGTAAAAATGTTTCTTAAAATGTATGATAGGCAGGTCTTCCCCTTGGTGTTCGGAACATAGTTTTTGGACTTGGTCCGGAAATATATATAATGCAAGTTTCTTGTACCAAGCATGAACTTCCCAATAAGAAAGAAATACGAAGAAGCCATAATATGAACTTCATACTCCGCGTCTTGCGGTTTCAAGACATAGAAGACATATCATGAACTTCCCTAACGATCTCTCTCTATTTCATGGAGAAGACTCACAATGGTTTCAAGCAATCAGTCTCACCAAAATTAGACATAGAGGAAGCAATGATTACTTTTATAGCACCGAATGAACTCTACGTTATATGGGTTTCGTTTCTATACGTTCATGATTTTATAAGACATGCAGGGTTTTGTGTTTTTCTTTATACAAAACTTACCAAGTTTGTTTAAACCGGATTTTTTTTTTATAATTTGGTTAAGCCATTTAAATCGGATAAATTAATGTATGCTTTTGTTAAATCGGATAACTTAATGTATGCTTTATACAAAACTTACCAAGTTTATTATTTTTTTTAATTATTTGTAGCCGTGAAAATAATAACTTAATGTATGCTTTTGTTAATTCCTGGAACTCAAAATATTATAGTTTCACATGCACGTCCATTGTTTTTCTCCATGTTGTGATTAATACTATTAAACCAATACTGGTGCAAAATATCCAATAACCAATCCGTTTTAAACCAGAAAGATATGTGTTAATGTAATATTTAATGGTTTTATGTGTTTGGCAAGGCAAATTAATGATACTGAATTTGCAATATTTTTCCATTTATATGTTATGGTAATATATATATAGCTTAGAGTGAACGGCAAGGTGAAAATATATGGCATTAATGTCAATTTCGTGAGCCATCTAGCCCATAGGACATTAGGTTTACGGTTCTTATATAAGTCATCTTCCTCTCATTCATATAATTGCATCTCACATACACTCTAAAACTCATTTTTTCTTTTCTTCTGATTCTACTATAATGGCTGCGATAACTGCTGTGTGTGATTTGAAACCATTCGAAGAAGGTATTGAATGTACCAAATGATACCATTGATGATGGAGAAGATGACGATGAACTTGGTTTCCACTACTATTGCGTTAAATACAAGGTGAAGAACCCAAAGTTGATGCCAAGGTAATTAGTATTCACTAGCTTTCGTAGATAATTTCTTGAGTATGGATATGTCTTTCTTAATTTAATATGTTGTCGTTTATGTTAGATACAAGTTTCATTTGGCAGTGCTAGACAATACCGGCAATGCAAAATTTCTACTGTTCGACAATCTTGAGTCCAGTTACTTCATCGCCCTTGCAATGAGCTAACTGGAACTAATATTGATGAGGTAAGGCGGGTTTTATCGTTGTGAACTGCCAATAGTCATTGTTTTATGTATTTTAACAGAATACATGCTAAATTGACAGATGCAAGACCCGGATGATCTTCCTTTGACACTCAAAGTTTTAATAGGTAAAACCTATCTCTTCAAGGTTGGCAATGAGAAAGAAATTTTTCTCTGCAAGAATGGCACATACAAAGTGCTAAAAATCGTCACCAACATTGACATGATTACCGAGTTCGAGAAGTGGAGTCAACCAAAGGTAGTATAAAAGATTGTCTGTTTTATTTTATGAATCATTACTATTATTTGTATGTTTTTTACCTGCTTTTTTCTTTGTTTCTGCAGGGAGGGGTGAATACTTTGGCTTTGGAAAACTCGGTAATTTCAGATGCACCAGAGGTATTGTGTTTTATTTTTATTTGGGTTGACCTTTGGTTCTTGCAATCAATCTAGAAGTATATTTGAACACTTTTTTATATGTATTATATAGGGTTCATTGTCTGGAGGGTCGTCCCAGGAAGCTGAAGCTAACACACTCACTCCTACTAAACGTCAAGGAACAACCATTTTTAACTTGGATGAAGAATATGATGAGATTTCGGTGACAAAGAATTTGTGTTCAATTCAGATCAAAAAGGAGAAGACTGACAAAAGTGGCTGAAGGCAGATATGTGCATGAAGACGTTTAATAGAGGCTTTCGTTTTCATTTGGTGTTTTTATTATATTTCAATTATTTTTTACAAGTGTTTTGATTCATGAGTGATATGTGTTTCTTGAACTTCTTTGTTATTCTTAAATTAATAGAAAGCCCCTGTATTATTATTTTTTCATTTTTGTTTTATTTATTTATGATGTTTTATATTAACAACCTACTTAAGATTTTGAGTTTTCACCCAAGTATTGCCAGTTTGAAAATATTGTTATTTGGCTTGGATATTACGCAAATCTTAAGTATGAATATTACATTTATTCCTGATTTAAAGCTGTAGGTTGGATTTGACTTAGATATTATGCAAATGAGTAAATAAGGTACCAGAAAACCGGAAAAAAATATATATTCATACTTATGATTTCGAGTTTTTACCAAGTATTGCCAGTTTGAAAATATTGTTATTGTCTTTCGAGGTGTCAAGTTATGGGAACACATGGCCATCTAATGAAAATGTATTACATTCTTATTATTGTTAGACTTTAAAATTGATTGCAAAACCCGTGTAGTACATTAGTTTCTGTTAACAAAAAAATAACTTGGTTTTTGATGAAGTATTTGGGCACATGGCATAATGAAACCTCTTCAAAGCAAAAACGTTCAGAATTCATATGGGTTGATGTTGGTGACTTTTATGTTTATATAGTTGTAAGTATATTTATAAAATATCATCATTCATCTAACCCCTGTTATATATATTTCAAGGATCCAAAATCCAAACAAACTATCCAATACCTAATTATTAATTGAAGTTTTTTTTACAATACCTATTTTTATTTAGATCATTCTTTGTTTTCAGAAGAATGAGATATGCATTTTTATTATAAATGAAATTGAGTTTATTTTATTTACACTAGATTTCTCTATCTTACTTATTGATTTGTAGTTCCTATAAAATATCTACACACATCAAAATTCTCTATCATATTCAAGATATAGGTTATGAATGGGAGGGGTAGGACAAAGGCAGATCATGCAGTTCTCCTGCAATAGGCAGTTCTCCTGCACTGCTTTTGCCATTCATCTTTTTTTGTTTCTAAAAGCAGTTCAAGCGGGAGATCTGCATGCAATTCAGTATTTTTTGTCTTTTTGTGAAAAAAGCAGGAGATCTGCATGCAGATCTCACCCTCTAACATTTGATGGTGTTGATCTGCTTTTTTCACTAATGAATGATTTTGCTGCAAATATTAACTTTAAATATATTTATTAATTTTATAAATAATATATAATGATTAGCTCAAACAATATTATTCACACTAAATACTATTTGTGTCAATTTTAAAATTACAAGCATATCATTTTTAAACTTATAAATATGACATTCAGTCATAAACAAAACATAATATTTTTCAACAAAAAAATTTAAATCATTCTATATAAGTATCAACAAAGATTTTAATATTAGTAACATGCTGGTTCTTCAAAGATAATTTTGATTAACTAAAACGAAAATAGAAGAAATATAAGCATCATATGGAAAATTCAATAAACATTTTGGCTGATCCTACAACATCTAAGATATTTATTTTGATATTTTAGTATAATCTTTTATTCTTTGAATATGTGATCTATATTTTTGAACTGGTGTTGTCATTCATAATTTATAATAAATCGTTTGATCTGTATCTCTCATGCATGATCTGCATCTCTCCTGCATGATCCGCTTGATCTGCACTTGTCCTGCTTGATCTGCACTTGTCCTGCTTGATCTGCATGAACCGCTTGATCTGCACTGCTTGATCTGCTTTTATCATTCGAAGCCTATAACTCAAGAATCCCTGTAATCCCTTTCATGAATTCTTGGATCAACATGAACACAAAGGAAAGATCAACAGCCCTTCCCTACATTCTTGGATCTTTCACCATTAGTCGAAGAATAAATCAACCTACAACTAAACCGATGTCCACATTAAACAAATCTAATATTTTTTATATGCTAAATAACGAGATTAATAATCTCATCCCGCGCAAGGCGCGGGTTATCACCTAGTATCTCTGTAAAATATTAGTTTTAGCTCTCGAAATTTCATAAGTTTAATATAGGTAAGGCATATAATCCTTAATTGTTAAAAATTTGCACCTCTAAAATTTAACGACTGACAATGCATGGTCTAGTCACTTTGAACAATGCAATGATAGGGTGTATTAATAATTCGAGTGGCGGGAACAGGTAATAATTTCATAGCAAGTCCATAATCAGTTTGTCCTCTTTCTATGGCGAATTTCCACTGCCCGTGTGTGTATTAGATTTTACTATGATATTTTGATTTTTTAAGTTAACAGGAGGCCAAGCCCTAATGTTATCTTGATTTGAGTGATACTATAGGAAGAGCGTTGAAAGTTGAAACTATTTCACATACTTATTTTTACTTAATGAACTTGAGGCAGTTTGACCATTCAGAGAAAATGGCCTCTTCCTCTTTGCCGTTTTCATCTTCCTTGGGACCATATGTTCATTAAGTGATGGTGATGTCTACGAAAAGTCTTGAAAGTTGAACCTACCTCACTCCCTTTATTTAATGGACTTGAGACAACTAGAGATCATCAGACAAAAATGGCTTCTTCCTCTTCCTTAGGACCGTTTTCTCCTTCGCCACCGTCTTTAATTCCAGTGATGAAAGAGGGAGAGTGTAGAAACTGGGCGGAACTTCCGTCTGAATTAACGTCATCGATCCTACGCAGGCTTGACTCGATTGATTTATTAGAGAATGCTCAGAAAGTGTGTACATCATGGTATCGTGTCTGTAAAGACCCTGAGATGTGGCGTAAGATAGACATGCGTAACTCTGGAAACTTGGGGTTGAACCTCGAGACCATGTGCCGTCATGCAGTGGATCGTAGCAAAGGAGGACTGGTTGAGATTGACATTTGGCATTTCGGTACTGATTCTCTCCTCAACTACATTGCTGATAGGTTAAGTAGCTACGTCTCTCTCCCTCTCTCCCTTCTTTCTCTTACATGTTTTCAGTTTTTGTAACTGTTACACTCAATTACTTGCAGTTCAAGTAACCTGAACAGCCTTAGACTTGCAATCTGCTCTTTAACAACAACCGATGGACTTACCGAAGCAATTGTGAAGATTCCATTGCTTGAAGAACTCGAGGTCTCATACTGCTCATTGTCCGCAGAGTCTCTGAAAGTTGTAGGCCAGTCTTGTCCTAATCTGAAGACACTGAAGCTAAACCGCGAGGCATTCAGCCGTTTTCATTACGTGAGTGATGATGATGCTCTTGCAATCGCTGAAACGATGCCTAGACTTAGCCACCTCCAGCTTTTCGGAAACAAATTATCAGACGCTGGTTTAAACGCCATTCTTGATAACTGCCCTGATCTGGAGCATCTGGATCTACGTCGTTGTTACAACCTTAACCTTTTTGGAGATCTGAAGAAGCGTTGTTCCGAAAGGGTCAAAGTTTTGAGAGGAACTTATGACTTGATTTGGGATTACCCATATGATGAGTCTGTTATCTGTAAGGAAACGTATCAAGATCCTTATTCTGAGTATTATTCTTATGACAGTTCAAGTGACAGTGACTATTCTGACTATGATTACGACTCGTATTATAATGATGATGTGTATGATCCTTTTAAGAAAAGTTTGTGAGTTTATTAGGCAATATTAAAGAAAGAAAGCCTTTTGCCAGTTTGAATCGTTCAAAAAATTGTTTTTTTTTACATCAAAAGATCGTTTAAAGCTTTTTCTGTTTCGATTTCATACAGTTTAAGAAACGCAAAATTGAGAGCTAATTAAGATTACATAATAGCAATGTTTCCTCTCAGTAAACAACCACCTTAAAAAACTAAGATATGTATTGTCCTGTATTGCTTAAGCTTCCATGATGTGGTATCTGCGAAAACTAATCAAATGTAATTTTCTAGAAATATGTTTTTTTTTTAGAAAGAGTATGCTATTTCATGATATTAAATATAGAAATGCCAGTTTAAAATTTTTAAAAGGGTTATTTTTATCATTTATATTTTGGACCGAACAAGATGCATTCTGTTTTTTTTTTTTAAAAAAAGAATACACTTGGATGATGATGTGGCATTTTAATACATGAAACGAAACATCGATTTGCATCTTTAGTACCAGATGGATTACTTAGATGAGCAAATTGACTATACAGGAAACCCCATTGGGGTATCTAACACATGTTCTTGATATTGAAAACATACAAAAAAAGTGGAAACAAAGAAGAAAGAGAACCAATCAGATCTTATTTGAGAACTTCAACTAAACAATTAAAGACACTTTTCTTACATATGTTGTTTTCTGATTGGTCTGATTAATTTTCTAATTTAAAATTTAACAATTAACTACAAATTATTAATATTAATTTGTAAAGTAACCTTGGGAAGATATTCATCAATAATCATGCGCTAACAAATTAGGATCTTCCAAGTTTGTTCTGCTTTTTGTTCTGTTTCAAACTCACAACAAGCCATGGTCAAAACTATAAAGATGCAATAAAGAAAAATGTTTTCTCTTAGTAAGCAATCATCAAAACTCTAGTAGAAATATGAATCTCTCGTGGCTGAAGGATGCGAAGCTCACGTAATCTTAGTTCTGGTCTTGCAGTGCATCCGAGTTAAAAAACATATTTCTAGGAACATATACTACTTTGATCCACGTACAAATCATCTATATATTAATTGAGAAGCATTTTTAATAAATAACCTTGTTTTTATGTATGATTAACAGAAATGTCACTATTAGTATAGCAGATGAACAAGTTTTCTCAATCCATTTAATAAATTGGACATAATTTACTAGAGTATTTATAATATAATGCTATTAGACATCTATCTATCTATTATTATAAAGTAGAGTTTTCCCTACTCTAATACTGCCACGTCATTAATTAAGTTCCTCAAAGCATGACATATGTACTTATGAATTTCGTTTGGGTGTTGTTCACATTCGAATGGGCTTTATCCTGAACAAAGGCTTTGTTGTTGTCATTGCATTAAATTACCAAGCCCATCAATAGAGTGTAACCAACATGACACATATGTTTCTATTTTTGCAGATTTGATTCTTTTGAGTGCCTAAACATATATTGGGTTATTCCTATGTTTAAAACTTTTAATTTAAGTCTAAATCCAGCCCGTACCTCAGTTATCTTATCTTCTACCTAAAAGTTGTGTAATGCGGACGTCGAAACGTCAATTAGGGTTTTTTTACTTCATGACCTCTGACGATCTGCACCAACCATGTATTAGAGGATAACTATCGTTTGTATAGCATAGATATTATTCCTAGTATATTCTATGTAGATATGTGATGATCCCTAGAATCACTCAACTACTTGTACTATATATGTTATTATCAATCGACGTAATCATTCAAGGGAAACTCATTAGCTTACATGGTATCAGAGGGTTCTATATCCTGAACCTAAAACGCTTCTCTTTTATCTTCTCTCTTCTCTTCTTCTCTTCTTCTTCCCCTTTTTCTCTTTGCGTCATTTTAATGGCAGCTCCTCCTCCCCCTGTTCCTTACGAAAGAGCCTATGGTGTCACCAACATCAAGCACTATATTCCCTTCTTGCTTGATATTGATGATGGTAACTATGATGCTTGGAAGGAGCTATTCCTCACCCACTGCCAGAGCTTTGACGTCGATGGACACCTCGACGGTACTCTTCTTCCTGCAAATGATGCCGACGCTGCGTGGAAGAAAAGAGATGGACTGGTCAAGCTGTGGCTCTACGCCACGCTCTCGAAAGATCTGTTCAAATCAACCTTCAAGACAGGTGGAACGTCTCGTGAAATCTGGATCCGGTTAGAGAACTTCTTCCGCAACAACAAAGAAGCACGGTCTATTCAACTGGATCATAAACTCCGTACGCAAGAACTTGGTGATCTCTCGATACATGCGTACTGTCAAGAACTTAAGTCAATTTCTGACTTACTTGCGAATCACGATGCCCCGGTTTCAGAGAGGACACTGGTCACTTACCTTCTCAATGGTCTCAATGGCAAATATGATAACATCATCAATGTCATCATGCATCGTCAGCCGTTCCCAACATTTGAAGAAGCGCGCAACATGTTAATCTTGGAAGAGGATCGACTTGGCAAAGGCAAGAAGACGAATACTACCAAAGACGAGTCGTCCTCCTCACCCAAAGTTCTTGTAGCCTCGCTTTCCCCCAACGAGCAGAAGCCCCAACAAAAAGCTGCCCAACAGAACTTCTCGAACAGAGGCAATGGTCGTAACAAGTTCAGAGGTAGAGGCCGTCAATACAACAATCAGCCGCGACTCCAGTACCCTAATTGGCAAAATGCGTATCCAATGTGGCCACCACAGCAATTCAATCCATGGACTCAGCTACCGTATCAAGCCTTTCCACAACCTGGTATTCTTGGCCCACGCCCGCAAATGCCGATGAGTCAAGGACCACACGCCAATGCTGATCAGAAAACCGTCCCCACAATGGACTTCGCAAACGCCTTCAACACCATGACACTAATCGATCCAACAGATACACAGTGGTACATGGATTCCAGAGCCACTGCCCACCTCTCCAACACGGCAGGTAATCTTAAGTCTGTTATTAATGAACGCACCGGAAAAATGGTCACTGTGGCCAATGGTGGTAAGGTTCCAATTAATTCATCAGGATCGTTTTCTTTTCAAACACAATATCGTCCTCTTACTTTAAAATCTGTTCTTGTTACTCCCTCTTTGATCAAAAACTTAATTTCTGTTCGTCGCTTTACTAAAGATAATTCTTGCTCTGTTGAATTTGATCCTTTTGGTTTCTCTGTGAAGGATCTTCTAACTCGACAGACGATTCTCCGCAGTGATAGCAAAGGAGAGCTTTATCCACTTCTGCCTTCTTCAAATAAAGCGACGACGTCGCAACCTCTTACTTTTCTTACTACTTCTAATGTTTGGCATCGCCGTCTGGCTCATCCCAGCGACGAGATTTTAAATTTGTTGCTTTCTAAATCTGCTTTGTCTTGCAATAAACGTGATTTACCTCATTTATGTTCAGCTTGTCAATTTGGTAAACACACAAAACACTCTTTCACCACCTCAAAAAACGGTCGTCAATCACCCCTTCGACATCGTTCACTCCGATTTATGGACATCGCCAATCCAGAGCCTAAGTGGGATCAAATACTATGTTCTCTTTCTTGATCACTTCTCTCACTTCCTCTGGGTATATCCCTTGCGGTACAAACATGAAACTTTCTCTAAGTTTTTGCATTTTTCGAATTATGTGAAAACTCAATTTGGCAGAACTATAAAGTCCCTTCAATGTGACAATGGGGGCGAGTATGACAACTCAGAGTTTCATGAGTATTTCGCAGCAAATGGGATCACTTTCCGCTTCTCGTGTCCTCATACATCTCAGCAGAACGGAAAGTCGGAGAGGATGATACGTACTATAAACAATGCAGTACGAAGTCTTCTTTTCCAAGAAAATCTACCATCTTCTTTCTGGGTAGAGGCGCTTCATACGGCAGTCCATACACTAAACATCCTACCTTCTAAAGCCATCGGAAATCAAATTCCTTTCTCAGTATTATTCAACAAACCTGTCTCTTACTCTCACTTAAAAGTCTTCGGATGTTTATGTTATCCCAATCTTAACCACTCTAATCACAAAAAGCTTTCTCCTCGTTCTTCAAAGTGTCTTTTTCTTGGCTATCCAGCAAATCACAGAGGGTATAGATGCTTTGATCTAACATCGAAAAAGATCATCATCTCACGCAACGTGAATTTCGACGAAGGCATCTTTCCTTACGAAGATTCAAGTCGCAAAAACGAATCATCGTATGACTTTCTCTTAGCTGACGACGAATCTTCTCCTCTGTTTCATCAAATTTTAACTCAGCCTCCTGCAGTCCAACCCGCACAGGATGCAGTCGTTCAACCTGAGGCGCCAACTCTCCCAACCCAAGTGGTGCGAGAGGTACCTAGGCACTCCATGACTACTCGTTATAGGCATGGCATCTCGAAGCCCAAACACATTCTCTCTCTAAATATTCAAACACAATCTCCACTTCCTAAAGGCCATCTTCAAGCTCTTGATGATCCTAATTGGAACCCGTCCATGCATATTGAGTACGATGCTTTTATTAAAAATAAGACTTTTGATTTAGTGCCTCGTCCTCCTAACACTAACATTGTTCGGTGTATGTGGCTTTTTAAGCATAAGTATGATGCAGAGGGCAACTTTAAGGATCACAAATCGCGCTTAGTGGCAAATGGGAGATCGCAGGAACAAGGAGTGGATTTCGATGAGACTTTCAGTCCAGTAGTCAAACCGGTGACTATAAGGACTGTTTTACATTTGGCTTTGTCTAATAATTGGCAGGTTAATCAGCTCGACGTACAGAACGCCTTCCTACATGGCACACTAGACGAAGATGTCTATATGTTCCAGCCTCCTGGCTTCGTAGACAAGTCCAAACCAACGCATGTCTGCAAGCTAAATCGATCCATCTACGGGTTAAAACAAGCACCTCGCGCGTGGAACGCAAGGTTTGTCAAATACATCACATCCAATGGCTTTACACAATGCAAGTCCGACACAAGCTTATTCATTTACAAGAAGAATGGTCTCATGGCGTATCTAAT